CATTAGCACCTCTAGTAATATATTTACTGAGAAAAATGGTGACATGTTCAATACTTATTTTACCCTCTGTATATTTTTGGCATCTTTTAATTAAACTGTAGCATTCTGAGTAAACGAAGACTATGAAAATAATCTATGTGCCTTCCTGTGCTTATAAAGTAATGTTGGACAGAATCTTGTAAAATATTTTATGTTAATCAAATGATAGAAAATACCAAAACATAAAAMGTGTCAAAATATGAAAGAGCAAAAACTGTTAAAGTGACTCATTTCACTGCACTGTTACGTTCCATCTTTTAAAAGTAAAGATGTCAGATGACAACTGAATACAACTGTTTCTAAAGGATGTTTGCTATGTTCTGGTCAAAACATGTTTTTTAAGCTTTTCTCATTTTTTTATTTTAAGTATATTCAGTATGTGGGTTACTTGGGGATAATACATATGTTTTCTCCAAGTTCTCAAAATATTTTGGCAACATATGCAGCAAAGTTACTTGCAATATGTTTACCACATGTGAATTCAAAAAGTAATGCAATACGTGTTTGGGAAGACAGTGAGTGTGTGATCAGCTCAGTACACTTGATCATTTTAAAAATGACAGTCTCTAAAGCTTTATTCCCATGACCTTAAAATGGGTCAAAGTACAGCATACTGCCAATCATCAATATTCAAAACAAAAAAGCCTTTTTATATGGTTAAAGTGCTGATCGGAGAAATGCATTTTAAAACTTTGACCATAAAATCCCTTTTAGTATAATTTGCAATGTATGTTTTTTTTTTATAATTCCCATGACACTAAACAAAACCCACATGGAAGCAACAAGCTTCCTACACATTTTTTGAAAACAAAAAAACAACAACCAACAACTAAGTTTTGTTGAAAATTTGATATTTGAATTTTATCACATTCACAAACAACGCTAAGCAATAATATGTAGGCTTGTATCTGACCATGTAAATGTCAACAGATTAAAAAAAACTTTGCTTTTTCCTCACCAAAAACTTGGCCAATGGGCAGCAGCAAATACAGCACATAGTTCCCACATCACAGTAAACCAAGCAAATTAAAACATCAAAAACAAAAACATTCAAAAAACAAATATTAAAAGAAATTACGAAAAGCAGGAAGTCCAACACACCTTGTGTTAGCTCTGCAGAGTTGCATGCAGGAGTGTTTTCCTGCGTTCCTCAYTCTGCGCAGTCATGATGGGATCCAGCTGGTGTTCACTATCAGCTTTAGGAAGGAGCAGTTTTCCTGAGGCAGACGTCAGATGATTATCTCATCTAGTGTGAGAACAGGCAAACCTCAGTGTTTTACTGGCTCTCTACCTATAAGTGTCCTTTTCTTTATCGCTGATTGTCCCTCTCTTTTGCAGTGCATGCTCCTTGGATCCCTCATTGACCAGACTGTTCCCCAGCCTCTCCTCTGGTACGTCCTGCTTCATGTTCAGCTTGTTGGCTCATCTCCATTGCGCTCCTCTCTGCTCCTTAAATGGTTTTCCTGGAAAAAAAGAATTCCGGTGCATCAGTGCCATTAMTCAGCCACCCTCCACCACTTTTCCACCAACCCACAGTCCTGGAAAGATTATTATTCAGAGCACAAAAGCRTCCACTTCCTGTCACTCACTCCACCTGCAGATCTGTCCCTCCTCTGGATTCCCTCACTGCCACTGGATTGTACYCCATCTGGTGGTCTGTATAGCTTTAAGAGATTTTTGGACATCCTAAATTGTTATTGGAGCAAAATTAAAAGTTTGACCTTTATTCACTGGGGGATCAGTGGAATGATTTYCACCAGAAGGTCTATTAGGGTCAAATAAATAGACAGAAAATACAAAATGATTGTTAGAGGGGACCTATTATGCAAAATTCACTCTTACATGTTTTTATGCTTCAGTTTGGGTATGTTCCAGAAACAGTCCAAGTGTAGTGGTTATAAAATTGTTTCAGCAAAGACATTACAGTTTTTCTTAGTTGTTAAAACWCTAAACCCTGTTCTCRGAACCAAATGCTCAGTTGCTTGAACCCATTTATTAAAATGGCCACRCTTTTGTCAGAACTCTAAGCACGTTWCACCCAGTTAGATACAACATGCAGACCTATTTTCACCCACTAAAACACATTTTGTTCAGTAATTCACATGGGTTTCACAATGATAAGCACAGGTGTCTCAACTCAAAATTGATCACACATGTGTCTAATGATGTGAACAAACCAATATAAACCAGTGCAAGGAGCTCTGGGCCCATATTTATAAAACTTTTTAGAATTACTCTTAAGAATGCTGCGAAGAGTGGACTTAAAGTGTAAAAAAATTCTTAGTTAAAAGCTGACAGTAAAAGTCAGTTATCAAGCGTCTCAGTCTTACTTTAAGCGAAGTGTAGGAGTAATTCTTAGTGTCAGTCTCAGAATTGATTTACGACACCTGCTGTGCCGCAAAGCTGATCCTGGATGACGTCGTTAGAAAAAACACCAGCATGGATCAATCACTGCCTCGGATTTCATGTTCAAGAATATTTTTGGAGAAATGTCAAGATAAAACTGTGAAAATCCTAAGATAAGTTCACTTTCAACACACTAATGTTGTCACCTTGTACTGATAGTCTGTAAATTACATAAAATGTTCTCATTTGCATCATGAGAACAGTTTTTTTTTTCAAAAACTCAGCAGCTGTAAAGTTTTTTGTCTCAGAGCCTGTTGAGCAGCTCCCTCCTCTTCGCCACTGTCAGACAACACCGGCTTCACACACACACATGCATGCACACACAACCCCGCTC